TACAGCTATTGCTCAAGCAAAGGACAAAGTTAATGAAGTTACCTTCAAGCTTGAACATCTAATTGAACAAATTGAGCAAATAGTCAAAGAACAAAACTATCAAAGGGTCAGTCTGCCTATTCAGCTTATTTTTATCTCTTCCTGCCAGGAATACATTTCTCAATGCAAAGCCCCTGGACCAAGGAAAGAATGAACTGCCTGTTACTCAATCTTTCTGAGCTAGAACTGTGTGGACACTCAGGGAGCAGGGAGAGAGTAATTTTTCTTCACTCTGCTAGATCATGAACTCCGCTGGGAAAGGGGACTTCAGCTCATTTGCCTTTTATCCCCTTTTTATCCTTTGCTAGGCACTGTGCCTAGCAAAGTGCCCAGCAGCATAGAGTGTGAGCTTACAGAATAAATAAATGCTTCCAAATGCACCCCAAATATTTGTAGAGGCTCAAGTATGCTTGCTTTCTAAATTACAATTTTGTTCTTGTGGCATTACGTGTTTTCTGAGTCATTGTGCTCAGTGGATGCTGATTGGACATGCGCTCTAATATGCTCTACCACTCACTACCTTGTGCCATTTCTATGCTTCAGTTTCCTTATACGGAAAATAAGATAAGGACAGGTATGATAATTAGATAAGGCAAAAAGTATTTGGCATAAAGGAAGGACTCAAATGATTAAATCTATCACTATTGGGTAATGTTCACTTTGCCTGATGGTAGCAAATAAAATGTATAAAGTAATGGATCAAATTCCTCATATTTTACACCAAAATAAAAAAATGTTTTTATAAGATTTATTTTTACTCTCTTATGCTTGGCTAAACAACAGATGCTGGCTTAGAAAATCAGATATTGCACTTTGGCATAAGAGATATATATCCCCCCACCACCACGACAGCTTCTTGCTCTGTTGCCTCGGCTAGCGTGCAGTGGCATCATCATCACTCACTGCAACCTCAAACTCCTGGGCTCAAGCAATCCTCCTGCCTCAGCCTCCCAAATAGCTGGGACCACAGATGCCCACCAACACACTTCATTAATTTTTCTATTTTTTGTCAAGATAGGGTCTCGCTATGTTGCTCAGGCTGGTCTCAAACTCCTGGCCTCAAGCAATCCTCCCACCTCAGCCTCCCAAAGTGCTAGGACTACAGGTGTGAAGCACTGCACCCAGCCTGGCATAAGATATTAATTGGGGAATATTAAATACTTTGAATGCATACAGCAACCTTCCCCTCAAAATCATGAGTTAAGTACTTTATGAAACTAAATTTGTTTTTCTCTTCTGCACAGGACCGTGAAGAAAATTTTCGAATGACCAGTGAAGATACAAATAGCAATGTTTTATGGTGGGCTTTTGCACAAACATTAATCTTTATTTCAGTTGGAATTTTCCAAATGAAGTACCTTAAAGACTTCTTTATAGCTAAGAAGCTTGTTTAAAAAATTATCAACAAAGGCAAATAATTAGCATGATATAAATCAAAATACCTGCATCAACGTGTATTACTTTTATGATCTCAAAATTATCAGAGTTTCAAATTAATGTTATAGCATTGTAACATTAATAAAATGTTACCTGAACAATGTATCTTCTGAATTTGATAGCATAAGCACATCATCTTATTCTTATTTTAAATTTGATATAGATCAGCACTGTTCAAGAGAAATAAAATGTGAGCTACACATGTAATTTTTTTTTCTGGTCCCCACATTAAAAAGCTTTTTTTAAGGGTAAAATTAACCCTAGTGACATATATGTAACCCAATATATCAAATATATCACTTCAACATATGTAATCAATATAAAATTATTAAGATATTTTACATTATTTTTTCCATACAAAGTCTTGGAAACCCCAGTTGTATTTTACACTCAGCACATCTCAATTTGAACCAGCCACATTTCAAGGGATCAATGGTCACATGAGGCTCACACCTACAATACTGCACAGAGCAAGTATACCTTTTCCCTACTGCATTCCACTCAGAAACAGTCTCTCTGAATCTCTCCTTTTCTCTGTTTCTCTGAAAGACAGTAACTTTTCTCCACACAAGTAAATGGTTCAGAAGCTTTCTCTGAACCAAGTTATCTCACAGGGTCCCCACCAGACCTTGGAGACTGTATGATCCATAATCTGCACATGGATGGAAATTCTGCTCTTCCATGGAGGAGATCCAGCACCAACCATGTAAGAAGTGTAACTTTTATAAAAAACTTTAATCTATTTTTTAACTTTTAATTTTGCAATAATTATAATCCCACTAGAAGTTGAAAAATAATACAGTCTCTCCCCACAACTTTCCCCATCTATTATTTTTAAAAGGGAAATACTCTGCCTAGGTCAAGTCCTTTCACGTATGTGTCAGAGGCAAATAGCGGCCTCGGTCCTGTCATGGTCCACTTCTATCCCACGGTTCAGTCAGTGGGCTCCAGTCCTCCAGTCCCGACCCTGGAGTCCTGGTCTGCTCAGTGCTCCTAGTCGCCCTGACCGCCCATCCACCCCACTTCCATCGTCGTGGCTACGGCAGGCCCCGGCCCGGGTCCACCTCGCCGGTCTCGCCAGTCTTGCCGGCCACCCCTCCCCGGCCCCATTCACTTCCTTCACAGTGGGCACCAAGGGCTCAGCCTGCCATAGTTGGCCGGACCTGGCCAGGGCGCGTCCCTGGTCTTGGCACCCCCTCAACCCCCCTCCCCCG